AATTGGTGTGGAAACAAAAGAACAATCAAGTCTAAGACTTAGATTTTACTAAATGATACTGTAACAGAAGGGGTTTTGTGGAGATTGTAGTTATTTCATTAGTTCAGATCATGAGTCAATTGAAGCTAGACCACCATGGGAAACCTGGAATAACTGAGAGGCCATTTCATCCTATTGTGGGACTCCTCAACAGTGCGCATACACGACCCTGCCTCGCGGGATTCGAACCCAGGAACTACCACTAGACCACTGAACCAGCCGGCATTCAACGCTGTTAGTGTCTAACTTCAACTGATCCACGAAATTGAGCGACATATCCACCACCATTGTTACCAATGAGTTACTATCTCACAACTGATACTGTAATCTTATATTCAAATACCAAAGGTTGTCCCCATTTATGTAATCTTATTCACTATAACATGACCTCAGTTCAGAATAAACACAATCTTAATTTAGAAATACTCTAACAATAAATTCAGACAATAATACAAAACAAGTATTGAATAAACCAGACAAGTAACTACCTATCATAATAAAGATGTTACAATGATGTAGAATCAATAGAAATGTATTATGTGCAAAGATTGAATCAATAAATGTGCTGATTACTCCCAACTATCATAATTAGTTAAATGTCTACACATAAATAGGGGTTTATGAATAGATAAATATATGGACAATTAAATAGAATGATAGATAGATAGATAGATAGGAAGATTCTAATGGATTATGTATGTATTCACTGAATAATATCCTCATTGTGATTTGTTCTATTTACATTAATTTCAGGCTGTTGCTAATTTTTGTTTTTATCAATTCGTGCTCACTAATGATAGGCTTTAAGAGGTATTTCCTGGAGTTCTAATAAGAAGCAGTGACCAGCGGAGTTCAACTGGCTCTATTGTGAGATAGTAACTCATTGAAGACAATAATGGACGGTGGTGTAATTATGTGGATTGGTTGAAGTTAGACATTAACACTGCTGAATGCCAACGGGCTCAGTGGTCTAGAGGTTAAGTGCTCACGAGCAAAACTGATTTGCCCTGGGCTCGAATCTCGTGAGGAAGGGTCATGGATACTCACTGATGAAGAGTCCCACAATAGGACGAAAAGACCGTCTAGTACTTCCAGATTTCTAATAATGCTTTAACATTGACCAGTTCATAATTACAATAGCAATATTTATGAAACTATATAATTCATTTCATTTGTTATAAACGTAAAATATGATATAAACACATGACCATAATGTTTGGATGATTCTACACCATTGAAAAGAAACTATCATTAATTAGATATGAATTTGTCAGCTGCTGGCATTTCATTATTGGCATCACATTGATTTAGTTACGATTTATATTCTTAAGATACTATACTGAATGTATTACCAAAAAATGAAAATGGTTTTGTCACTATACCTATACATGAACTAGTTGATAGGACGATAATAGTGAAATATGAATTTAAGTATTCTATAGAAGCCATTTCCAGTTTATGAAGCTGAATTTTGTTTATGATCTGAAATAGAATACTTATTTACTTACGCATGCTACACACAATGAAGCATAGACCACCGACCAACATTCTCGCTTGGGCTTTCCTTTCTAGTTCTATCCAATTGTTGTTCACTCTTCTCATGTCTATTTCCATTTTTCGTTGTAATAAGTTCTTCGGTCTTCCTCTTCTCCTTTGGCCTTCAGGATTTCATGTGAGGGCTTGTCTTGTGACGCAGTTAGGTGCTTTCCTCAATGTGTGTCCTATACACTTCCAGCGCTTCTTCCTGATTTCCTTCTCCCCTGGGATCTGGTTTGTCCTCTACCACAGTACGTTGTTGCTAATAGTGTCCGGCCAATGGGTCTGAAGTATTTTGCGTAGACAATTGTTAATAAACACCTGTATTTTCTGGATAATGGCTTTCGTAGTTCTCCAGGTTTCCGCCCCGTACAGTAGAACTGTCTTGACATTTGTATTGAAAATCCTGAACTTGGTGTTGGTTGACAGAGAGTTGTTTTCAGTTCCAGATGTTCCTCAGTTGTAAATATGCTGCTCTTGCTTTGCCCATCCGCCACTTCACATCTGCATCACATCCACCATATTCATCAATGATGCTACCCAAATATGTAAAGGTTTTCACATCTTCCAAATCTTCTCCGTCAATTGTGATTGGATTGATGCATGCTGTGTTATATCGGAGAATCCTGCTTTTCCCTTTGTGTATATTGAGACCTACTGCTCCTGAGGCTGCTGACACACTGTTCGTCTTCTCCTGCATCTCTTGTTGCGTTTGCGACAGAAGGGCCAGATCATCTGCGAAGTCTATATCATTCTACTGCATCCTAGATATCCATTGTATCCCGTGCTTCCCTTCACATGTTGACGTCTTCATCATCCAGTCGATCACCAGGAGAAAGAGAAACGGTGACAGTAAGAAACCTTGCCTAACACCGGTCTTCACTTCGAACGACTTTGTCCACTGTCCTCCATGCACGATTTTGCAGTTTAATCCATCATACGAATTCTGTATGATATTGACTATCTTCTCAGGCACGCCGTAGTGTCAGAGAAGCTTCCATAGTGTTGTTCTGTCCACGCTATCAAATCCTTTTTCGTAGTCAATGAAGTTGATGTAGAGTGATGAAATCCATTCAATCGATTGTTCCACAATAATCCGTAGAGTTGCGACTTGGTCTGTACACGATTGATCCTTACAGAATCCTGCCTGTTGGTCTCGAAGTTGGGCGTCTACACAGTCCTTCATCCTGTTTAACAATACCCTGTTGAAGACTATTCCCGGTATTGAGAGGAGAGTGATGCCCCTGTACTTATCACACTTGCTGAGATCGCCTTTCTTCGGTATTTTGATCAAAAGTCCTTCTTTCCAGTCTTTTCCTACTTGTTCGTCATCCCGAATATTGCTAAAGAGGATGTGGAGTATCCTTGCAGTGAATGATACGTCTGCTTTAAGTGCCTCTGTTGGAATGTTGACTGGTCCTGTTGCTTTGCCACTCTTCATTTGTCTGACGGCCATGCTGATTTCTTCAATTGTTGGTGGGCCAACATCGATTGGGAGGTCCGTGAGTGCTGCTTCGATGTTGGGTGGGTTCAGTGGAGCTGGTCGATTCAAGAGTTCTTTGAAGTGTTCTAACCACCTTTTTCGCCGTTCTTCAATGTTGGTGATTACCTCGCCTTCCTTGCTTTTCACTGGTCGTTCTGCTTTGCGGCGATTTCCAGAGAGTTTCTTTGTCGTGTCATACAGTTGTCACATATTTCCTTCTCTTGCAGCCTTTTCCGCTGTCATTGCTAAATCTTCCACACACTTACTTTTGCCAGCTCTGATGCTCCTCCTCACTTCCTTATTTACTTCTGTGTATTCAGCTTGTGCCTTGGCTTTTTCTGCTCTTGTTCGACTGGTATTGATTGTTGCTTGCTTGTTCCTTCTTTTTTGAATCTTATCCAGTGTGTCATCATTGACCCAATTCTTGTTATGGTGCTTCTTGTGGCCCAGAACCACATGACATTTTGAAGTGTTTGCTTCCTTGATCCCCTTCCAGTTGCTCTCCATAGTAGTTCCTTCTCCATTGTCTAGATCATGAAAGGACTGGAACTTGTTGCTGAGGACTATCTTCAATTCGTTGAGTTTGTCAGTATCCCAAAGAAAGGCCGTATTGAACTTTTGTGATATTGTCCTCCCCGTTGTCCAGTACTTCTTCAGTTTCAATTTCATCTTGGTGACCAGCAAGTGATGATCTGAGGATATATCAGCTCCTCTCTTGGTTCACACGTCTTCCATCGTCCTCCTCAACTTTTTGTTCATGCAGATATGGTCGATTTGGTTTTGTGTAGTGTGATCCGGTGAAGTCCATGTGGTTTTGTGAATGCGCTTGTGTGGGAATATAGTGCCGCCTATGACCAGTTTATTGAAGGCACATAGGTTTGCAAATCTCTCACCATTTTCGTTACTTTCTCCCAGTCCGTGTCGTCCCATGATGTCTTCATATCCAGTGTTGTCCGTTCCAACCTTGGCATTGAAATTTCCCATCAGAATGGTCGGGTCCTTTGTTGGACACTTCTCGCCGATTGACTGCAGTCTATTGTAAAATTGATCTTTAGCGTCTTCATTGTAGTTGTTGGAGACTAGAAAATATTAAAGTAGTCGGTCAGTCAGTCAGTAACAACGTAGAACTTCGTACGTACGTACATCAGTTCGAATCGATATACCACATTAGCACAGAGATGCGGTTGTCCACTCAAATCCCGTAGTGGTAAAGATAGTAAAACTTTAGGCAGTAATCGGAACGATTAGGGTTTAAACATGTTATTCAAGAAGTATAATCCAGTGAAATATATTTGGAAAGAGAAAAAAGATAAGAACATGAAGAATTCAGAAGATTAGAATTTGGGAAAACACAAACTGAGGACCTGCACCGGCGCCATCACAAACGATTTTCAGCCATGTCATTCAAGGTCTCTAACCATCGGTTGCTATCATCTCGCGGTCCCCAACTAGATAGTCTACGCGTACCAACATGACTCAGTCCACTTGTCAGTGACTTCATGGACTTGTGCCATGTTTTGGTCTGACCGTCCCTAGCTTTCTTCCAATCGACTCCCACACCACTGAACATCGCACGTCGAGGCAGTCGGTGGTTGGGCATACGTAACACGTGTCCCACCCATCTCAATTTCATCAACCCATTCGCCATGCTTACCTAGTACCCATTTCCTCACAAATGCATTACTTACTCGGTGGTCCCAGGATATACGAGCAATGCTTCGAAGACATCTATGATCGAATACTAGTAACCTACGAATATCCTCTACTCTTACCGGCCATGTTTCACTGCTATAAAGTAGGACGGAACGAACTGATGCGCAGTAAGCCCGTCCTTTGATTTGTAGACGGATATCTCGCCTACGCCATAAATGACACAATTTGGCAAAAGCTAGTCGAGCCTTCTGTATCCGTGCTGAGATCATGATCTAAAAACAACACATTTCACTTTCAAAAATATAGAATAACACTAAATATATAGATATATGTACAAATAGATTGGTTTATTCTACTTGTTCATTATTAATATTATTGTATGTTATATCAATGAAAGTTGACTTGAACATAACCCCAATCGCCTAATTAAATTACACATAGTATAGAAGTTGAGAAAAATCAGGCCAACAACAAGGGAATACAATAAAGAGAATCAGTATAAAAATGAAATCATTATAAGTACACCTACAATATACACATAACACTGATTGGATTTTATTTTGGATAAAAGAAGACGAAGAAAGAAAGAAAAAAAGGAAGGAAGTAAGGGAGGAAAGAAAGAAAGAAAGAAGGAAGGAATGAAAAAAAAACCTACAATGAGCAGTTAGTTTTTAATAATCAACAAAATTAAATTAAAATATCATTGATAATAATTGAAAATTATTTGTAATCAAAACAATCTGAATAACCGAACTAATTCATCACATGGATACAATAATATTCATAAATGAATAACCATCATTACCATAATTACATTCTCTTATATTAATCAACAGACTAGATAGAGTAAATACTTTCCCTTTCTCTTTAAATAGGATTGAAAAGTAGTTATGTTATTGAAAAAGAAAAAAGAAAGAAATGTGTACATAAATGTATAGTTGTCATGATGGAGACGGGGGAGTATGGAAGGGGAGGCGAATTCATTGAGAATAAGCATTATGCATACGCATCCATATAACATAGAAAGATTATATGAAATAGTTGTGTATTTTCTTTTTTGTTTTGACGACAAGACTAACATTTGAACAAAACAGATGCCAAACAAACAAACAAATAAAAAATGGATAAATAAAAAGGTGTAAATACCTTTCAAAGGATTTCATATTCAACATAACACACACACACACAAAAAAAAACCCCCATCCATAAAAACACAAATCATTTATCATGTGTAAATTTGTGCGTTTTTTTTTTCTTCTTCAAATGACTCATCAATATGTCATATTAATATTCAAAGAAAGGGAGAATGAGACCGAGAACGAGAACAAGAGGGAGAGATAGAAAGGGGTGGGGGCGAACAGAGTGAGAAACAATAAAAGATAAATTATATTTACATAGATAAACAAATACAATAGGCCAAAAACAATAATTAACTAGACAATCGAACATAATCACATTTAGGTATATTTACAATGGATACATTTTTTGTAGTTGAGGGGAAATTCTTCAAAGAGATAATGTTATCATTATTATTATTATTATTACTTAAATGATTTCTATCATTCATATCATCATGTTGTAATCCATCATTATTTCTATTTAAATAATCGAAATTCAATGATAATTTCTGATCCGTTTGATTTGGTAATGAAAATGAAATAAGAGTATGTTGATCCGGATACAAGTGATGATCATGATCATGATCATGATCGTGATCGTGATTATGTTTTGGTGTTCTCGATAATGGTATTGATGATAATGAAAATTGTGGTCGATATTTAGACGGTGATGTATAACTTGAATGTGACTGTTGATATAGATGATGATGATCAAAATTTTGTTGTTGAATCATTTTCATTTTATTGTCTAAATGAATATCTAATTCATTTGGTAAACATGTCAATGAAGATGTTGATATATTATGTAGATTATGTTTAGATTTATGTTTTCTACCACTACTACTAATACTACTACTACTGCTACTACATAAAGTAGTATTGTCTTTAGTAGTATTAGGATTCATTTCATTTAGAATTAATGAATGACTATGTACTATAGAATGAGATGATTTTAAAGGTGAAGAATAGGATGATGAAAATGATGAATGATTGATAACATGATGTTTATTGAATGAATCATTTGGATTAGTTGATTTTGTACGACAAAATGTGAATTTATGATCTTTGAAATATTTTCTTCTACCAATATGAACATTATTATGATTATTATTATTATTAAGAAGTTTTGATTCTTGATCATAATGAAAAAGATGATCATTCATTGAATCATGATCTTCATCATTGGTACTACTTTTACGATGAACATCATCATCATGTTGATGTTGTTCATGATGATGATGATGATGATGAGGAGGAGGAGGATGATGATAATGGTGACTTCGATGAGAACTGAATTGTTTTTTTATTTGATTCAATTTAGGCTTTTTATTACTAGTTAATTGATGATAACCAGTTTGTGATAATATTGATAATTCTCTTTGATCTTGATGATTATCCCTATCAGCAACTGTATCAGTACAGATATTATTTACTTTGTTGTTCTGATCTTTCTGTGAATGATAATAAACATGAGTATTATGATGAAGATCATTATAGTCTTCATCACCGAACGCTTCATCATCAGCATAATAATCTTCAGGACGGCAACTGTTGTTTTGACGATAATGATGATAAATGTTTTGTGATTGTGTATGTTGACTATTGGATGATCTTTCAGATGTTGTATAACTTTTCTCATCAGTTGATGAGATTTTATTCAACACATATTGTTCAGTATCATTACAATTACCAATGTTAGTATTAGTAGTGTTTGCATTCATATTGTTACTATTATTATTATTATTATTAACAGTATCATTATTGTGTATATGACTTACCCGACTACTAGTGTGTCCACAACGATCAAACAGTTGATTCACTACATACACCATTCGACCAGTTGGATTAATATGACTAGATAGATATTTTTTAAAATAAGCATAATTCGGTAGGGAATATCGTTTACTAATATACTTTTGTTTTATGCTTTGGTTATTATTATTATTATTACTACTACTACTCCTACTATTATCACTAGGATTTTCATAGTAGGAAATCATATGAGATGGTGACAGGATTGTATCATTATGCTGCAATGGAGCAAAGGAATTCTCTACATTGTATTGATTCATCATTCGACCTGATTCTTTATGATTATTATTATTATTATTATTATTAGTAGTAGTAGTAGTAGTAGTAGTACCGTTGGAGAATGTGATTGCATTTAAAGATGTGACAGATTTATTAAGATATTCCGAATAGAAATCATCATAGGATGGATGAAAAGCTGTACGCAATTCAATACACGAACCACCGGTACAATGATCGTTATCTTTAGCAACTGAACATGATCCATGAAGAAATGAAGAGCTGGGTAATGCACCATTGATTGTATTTAAAAATAGACCATTCCCACCGATACTTCCAGGATTAGTTCCATTGATACCGATTACACTGGCCAGTAATGATGTACGCTGATGATAAACTCTATGTCGATTACATACTTCACGATTAACAATTAAAACAATACCGACTAATACCACTAAAAAGGCAACAATCACACCAATAATATATGGTAGACTACTACGTTCATTAGAATTTGTAATACTTGTTTGATTGTTAATTGAATGATTTAAATAGGTGCTATTTTTATTAGGATAATCAGGAGCAACTGCAGCATCAGCATCAGCAAACATTGGATGTTGAAGACTATTATCACCACCATTGCCAACTACTTCATTGTCTTGAATATATTTTATATCTTTACATAATTGAAGACAATTAGTTAAATCGGATATAATCAAAAATCGTATAGCACATAAATGATCACATCGACATTGAGATTTGGCTCGTGGACAAAGACCATTCTCTGTAAGATAATTTGGTTTGAATACATGTGGTCGACCGCCTAATTCATAATTCCAATATTTTGACCAATAATGATTATCTTCTTTAGAGAAATTATACCATAATAGATTGAATGAATTTGCAGATAAATCAGTTAAATGATACGTATCCATTGTATCATATTCTAATTGCCAATAATTGAATAGATCAGAATTGAATAATTGATTTTGTAAATTAAAATAATATTGTGAATAACCTAATAGGGTCATTGTGGAACGTTGAAATCGATATAATCGAATACGTGGATTAAAATCACCTAATCCATGTAACATTAATGGAGAAATGGAAGGCATAAGAAATAAAGATGCTAATGGTACATCTAAAAACAAAATGAAATAGAAATGAAAAGATTCTATGAGAAGGAATTAAATATTTTTTTTTTGATAAATGATTACAAATCTTAATCACAAGATGAAAATCGAATGTTCGGTACTTTAACCAGATTAGTGGATACGGAGAGTTCACCTAAGGAAGTTGGAAAATCTTCATTTCAAACCAATGATCCACATGGGTTTCAATATTCCGAAAGAATAAATGATGTATGAACTAATCGTTGGTCACCGACTACATCATCATCATCTTCTTCTTCTTCTTCTCCCAAACTACTTGCTTCAGTTTAAGCACCATGGCAGTATCCCAACTCTCATATATATATACAAATCAGTGAACGTCTTTAGTGAGTCTGTATGAAAACTAATTCATCTTCATAAGAATAATTGATTAAACAAACTAGTAAGATACCAATGGTTTATATGAATAAATTGTATGAATACTAACTTGATTTAGATACTAATAATCGAAAACTATCCACATGTTCATGGGCAAATAATCCAGTCATTAATAAATCTGCATTATCAATTAATATATTCACAAATTGATCATTGATTTCTGGACGAAGAAATTGATACCATTGTGGAGCATTTTCTGAAGCACCCGGAGGGAAATGACTAACAAGTAAAACCTTTAAAAATAAATAAGTAAAGAGAAAAAAAGAGCTGTTGAGTAAGACATATGATGGGAGAAAAAGTCAAACATAATAGTATAGCTGTATTGATTCTGTATTTCTATTTGCTTATATGATTGATATATGACAATATGAAATTCAATACATTTGTGTTGGGTCAAATTATACAAACACCCGGTGTAGCAGCAGTCTCTGCATCAGTAGGCCTCAACATACACAAGAGGAAAACCAAGGTCCTCAAATACAACACAAAGAACATCAATCCAATCACATTTGATGGCGAAACTCTGGAAGATGTAGAATCCTTCACATACCTGGGAAGCATCGTCGATCAACAAGCAGGATCAGATGCAGACGTAGAGGCAACGATTGGCAAAGCAAGGGTCGCATTCCTACAATTGAAGAACATATGGAACTCAAAACAACTTTCAACCAATATCAAAGTGAGAATCTTCAATACGAACGTCAAGGCAGTTCTACTGTATGGAGCTGAAAATTGGAGAACTACTACAACCATCAACAAGAAGGTTCAAGTATTTACAAATAGCTGTCTATGCAAGATACTCAACATACATTGACTGGATACTATCAGCAATATCCTTTCCTGGGAGAGAACAAATCAGATTCCAGCTGAAGAGGAAATTAGGAAAAGACGACGGAAATGCATAAGACATACGTTACGGAAATCGTCAATCTGCATCACGAGGTCAGCCATAACTTGGAATCGTAAATGGAAACGGAAAAGAGGAAAGCCAAAGAAAACATTACATCGGGAAATAGAATCAGATATGAAAAGGACGAATAACAACTGGAAAGAGCTAGAAAGGGACAGGGTTGGATGGAGAATGCTGATGAGCGGCCTATGCTCTGTCACAAGGAGTAATACGCGTAAAATTTTTAAACCAAAAATCTTTTTTTTTTAAAAAAAATCAAATTATATTCTTCTATAATAATTTACATAATTAATGAATCTTATTGATTCAAAAATCAAATAAATAATGGCAGAGAGTTGATGTCATTATAAGATATGATTCAATATTTCAGGAAGCTCGACAAAAAGTTGCTGTGCGAAAGACATAATACAAGTTCGATTGAAGAGTATTTGGGTTGCTCCACTATCATTATATATATAACTCACTGATGACAATGGTGGATGTGTAACAAAACGGCCGTCCAATCCTTCCCGGTTTTCCATGGTGGTCTAGTTTCAATTGACTCACGATCTCAATTAGTGAAATAACTACAACCTGCACGAGAACCCCTTTCTGATATATATATACATCCAATATGTAACAAAGTATAATTCCAAATAATTAGAAACTTACTTTATCTTTTCGTTTTCTTGCCCATTCAAATGTTTTTCGAAGCCAATTTAATTGACCCAATGGATCTGGATCATTAGTACCAGCTAATATATTCCCTTGATACCAGATTAGACCATTTAAACTGATTAGAAGTAAATTAGGTTGATGAGCAATTTCAGAGTTATGATTGTTTTTATCAGTATTAGAATGATTGTTGGAAGTAGTATTATATACAAGATAATGTGAGAAGAAACAAGCTAGAAAATAAGAAAAAAAAGAAGAATGCAGACAAAACGATGTCAAATAATATATCTGCATTGATGATAATAATACTGGAAAAAGGCTCAAAAATGGCATCGTGAAGTAATCTTAGTTAGTTAGGCAGAAGCTAAAAACCAGAAAGTACGATGCAGTTGTTTCATCATAGTAGGTAACTATTCAGAAGTGAGCAAATTACTTACTTACTTACTTACGCCTGTTACTCCTAATGGAAAAAAGACAACCCCACCAGGAATTAAACGTATGTTTTGTACTACAACAATTGTTGAACGTTTAGATCATTTCAATGAATTCACAATGTGGAATGTTCATCGTTTGGAATTGGTGATAGATCTATTTTATCATATTGGATGCTTTGTGAACTTTCTATTTCATGTCTATTCATCATTAGAATTTCGAGAATTACCTCTTGAAGTTTGTCTCTGTAGTTAACACATTTGGTGTTTCTTACGTTTGAATGTTGTCAGTCAGTCACAACGTAGAACTTCGTACGTACGTACATCAATTCGAGTTGCCACACCACCTTAGCACAGAGATGCAGTTGTCGATTCAAATCCCGTAGTGGTATAGGTAGTAAGAGCTTGGTGTTGGTTGACAGAGAGTTGTTTTGAGTTCTAGATGTTCTTCAATTGTAGATATCTTGCTCTTGCTTTGCCGATCCGTGCATTCACGTCTGCATCAGATCCACCGTGTTCATCAATGATGTTGCTCAGATATGTAAAGGCTTTTACATCTTTCAAATCGTTTCCGTCAATTGTGATAGGATTGGTGCATGCTGTGTCAGTCAGTCAGTCAGTAACAATGTAGAACTTCGTACGTACGTACATCAGTTCGAATCGATATACCACATTAGCACAGAGATGCAATTGTTGATTGAAATCCCGTAGTGGTAAAGATAGTAAAACTTTAGGCAGTAATCGGAACGATTACGATTTAAACATGTTATTCAAGGAGTATAATCCAGTGAAATATATTTGGAAAGAGAAAAAAGATAAGGACATGAAGAATTCAGAAGATTAGAATTTGGGAGAACATAAAGTAAGGACCTGCACCTGCGCCATTGCAAACGATTTTCAACCATGTCATTCAGGGTCTCTAACCATCGGTTGCTATCATCTCATGGTCCCTAACCACGTAGTCTACACCTACCAACATGACACACTTGTCAGTGACTTCATGGACTTGTGCCATGTTTTGGTTTGGCCGCCTCTAGCGTTCTTCCAATCGACTCCTATACCACTGAACATAGTACGTCGGGGTAGTCGGTGGTTGGGCATACGTAACACGTGTCCCAGCCATCTCAACTGATGAAGTTTCACTACTTCATCAATTGATTTGCCATCCTTATCTAGTACCCGTTTCCTAACAACTGCATTACTTACTCGATGGTCCCAGGATATACGAGCAATGTTTCGAAGACACCTATGATCGAATACTAGTAGCCTACGAATATCCTCTACTCTTACCGGCCATGTTTCACTGCCATAAAGTAGGACGGGACGAACTGTTGTCACTACTTTGTTGAATTTCATAGTTTATATCATCATAAGATTTGGAATAAAATCAAAGAACTTAGAAGTTGAACAAAGATAGGAAATTATGTCTTGTATACATTACATGAACAAACATGAAGTCATCATATTAATCAATGAATTACATAAGATACATAAGATAATGATAAACTAATCACAGTGTTAACAAACAAACAGACAAACAAAATCATGAGTTGATTAAGAAAAGAAAAGAAAAGAGACGAATTCATGTATCTGGGGTGAGAAAGTAAAGAAAAAAACTAGTTTAAAGACTATCTCTTCTCAACAAACAATGAACTCGTGTCAAATGTTATAACTTGTGGTCGGTGCACCCTATTGATGGATAAAATAATTATACCATCAATTAGAGAACAATGATTTAATAATGACGCGTAAAATCGTACGAGCAGTTTAGAGTCCTAATCTGTCGTTCTCCCTGCCTGCCCATTGAGTCCAGAACACCAGTCTCAGCCTCCACGATATCAATCATGTATTCCAATCATACTGGGTTTATATACAAACCAAATAGACTACATCACATTACAAAATAGAAAATATACATTTGTACAAGATAGTAGCCAAAAGTGGTTGTGGATGTAAGAGATAGTAATGGATAGATTAGGCATAACTCACGAATGATAAATGGTATCATAATAGTCTATAAGTCAAAATAAAGCATATAATAAGAGGAACATAAATATGCATAGTTTATCCACTTAGTAACCATACAATAAATATATTATGTATAGTATTAGTCCAGAAATAGATCTCAATAGTTACTATCCAAGATATCACAAAACAATGATTAAATCTTCAAGAATAGTATATATTGATAATTAATTGTTTAGTTATATATATCTCATATTATAAATAAATCATCATTATCATGAATAGTATTGTTTCTTTCTTTCTTTCTTTTTTTCAATACAGAAACAAAAAGGGAGAATCCTTTTTTTATTGATTCTGAGTTTTATATTTGGCACCATTCCATCAATCAATCAATCAATCAATCAACTTGATAGTCAGCATGGTAACAACAAAAAAGTATATCAATCTATATTACAGTTACATAGAATAATAATAATAATAATAATAGTAATGGTAATAGTAATAATAATAATAATAATAGTAGTAATGGTAATAATAATAATAATCTATGACATAATCTCAGATTTTCTTAGTCAAAAAAAACAAACTTCTTTGGCACATTATTATTCAAGGATACATTTTGTAAAAAGAAAAAACGGAGCGAACAAAATGACTCATAATGATTAAAACTAAGTACAATTACTAGGTAGGTAGGTAGGTGGGTATGTAGGTGGGTGGGTGGGTGGTTAAGTTAGAAAACAAACACCTAAATACATTTAATACCAATTAAAACGAATTAATCAACTTAAATCTACATTGAAGATGATGATGATGATGATGCAATTGATTAGATGAATGAGAAATAAATAGTAAAACTCAGTAAGTCCTTGGTTCGAATCCTTGTAAGGATGGAATCATGAATGTGTACTGTTGAAGAGTCTCATATTAGAATGAAATAACCGTTTAATGCTTCGAGGTTGTTTTCTTTAATAGTGATCTAGTTTTAATTGATTCTACATACTGAATCTTTCTTCCTGTACTATATCCTTATATGAAATCTTTCTTTTATATATATAGTACCACCATTGAAATAAGTAATTCTATGAATCCAGTGTTCATCTTATTGTGCTAATGAGTAAAGTATGGCAACTTGGACCGATACATCTATGTGCTTGGTCCTATGTTGTAGCTGACTGACTGACTGATTCATGAATTCAATTATTAGGACAGAGTGGATTGAACAATAATGATCGATAGACTATGCTTCATTGGAAGGTAACAAATGCTAGGAATTCAGTAAGTCAATCAAAACTGAATGAAATAATTAACAAAACTTTTCTAATTATCTACGTGGATTGCTTCGATATCACCTTAAGTCACAAACTTTTTAAGCAAACATGGATAGTGCCTAACAGTGAAATCCAGTTTTAAGAGCGCCACTTCGTCCTATTTGGGACTCGTCAGCTACGTGTACCTGCATCACAGACTTGTCGGTGTTCACTCCGGGACTCGAACCCAGTGCCGTTCGCTTCAAACGCCATCGACCTATCCACTTAGTTATTGAGTCCTGATAGCCACCTGCTTGTGCAATAGAGTGACACCTAAATTCACTTGGTGTTGTTTTACTTGTACCTTCCCATTGTTACGTGGGACTGTAATTGATCAATCTCATGTTGGTATATGTGCATCCTGTGTGGATGCCCTTGATATAGTCTTAAATTACAAGCTTTTTAACATGTCTAAAATTTATACCACACTTCAACCGACAATAATTGAATAGGTTTAACAAAAAAAAGTGGATATCTATAAATATTTCGTAGTAGCTATGACAATTATTCATTAAAGGTGAAAGTATTATACACCGTGGGGATTTGATGATACGCGAGAGTTTTGAAAATTCCAGAAAAAAATTTGATGTAATCGACTGATTGAGATACTGACCATATTTTTAAAAGATTCATTACATTTATAACAAGTCATATAGTACACGTAAATAAGAAAGGGTTTTGTGGAGATTTTAGTCATTTCAATATTTGAAATCATGAGTCAATTGAAGCTAGATCACCATGGAAAAACTGGAAGCACTGGATGGCCGTTTCGTCCTAGTATGGGACTCCACGGCAGTTCATATCCACGACCCCGACCCCGCGAGATTCGAACCCAGGAACTATCAGTCTCGCGCCAGGCGCTTAACCAACTAGACTATTGAGCCGGCTGGCATCCAACGGCGTTAATGTCTAACTTCAACCAATCCAAAAAATCGCGCCACCCTACACCATTTTCTGCAGTGGGCTGATATTTCACAACAGACTCTATCAATTTATACAACGGTAAAATTACCATAGAAAAAAGGGAAAAGAATCCTCAACAAAATATCCATTGAAGAAAAGCTCACAACAGTTTAACCCTGAACCTAGATAATTTGCACCTGTTTACTTATTATCAACAAAAGAGAGGTGTTAATGATAGTGGTAGGAAAGGAAAAACAAAGTAACAGCAATTAAAATCAGTCGAACAAGAACACAGAAATTCAAGGCAAAAGCTGAATAAATACACTAAAGCAAACAAGATTGTGATAGGGAACATTAGAGCTGACAAGCAGAAATTAATAGAAGATCTAGTAACAACAGCGGAATGAGCTGTAAGAGAAGGAAATACAAATTAATTATACGACGAATGGAGAAACTAACAGGAAAACACAGTAAACCAGAACAAACTATCAAGAACAAAAAAGGCAAGCCAATCACTGAGATTTAACTACAGAGAAACTGATGGATTAAGCACTTTGAATAACTCTTCAATAGACTAGCCTCGGACATCGAACTAGCACACATAGATCTTCCCATAGCTGTCATCTC